ACACTCATACATACACACCCATTCACATATCTGCACACACACACACACACAAACACACACACACACACACACACACACACACACACACACGAACAACAAAGGAATCTGCCTCCATCATGGACACTGCCCTTTACTTTTGCAGGGTGTTGTTGGGAGACACTGGTAATGAGCATATGAGATTGCTTTATTTTTTTTTTTTTAAGGTTTATTTTCTATGTTCCTAAGGTTTATTCATCTATCTATATTTGAGGGTGTAGAAAGATGTGGCAGGATTGTGCATGCACAAGAATCCCTAGAGTTGAAGTTACAGGCAGCTGTGAGTCACCATGTGATGCTGGGAACTGAATCTGAGTCCTCTGGGAGAGCAGTCATCTTTCTTTCCAGCAGGGCCTTTTTTTTTTTTTTTTTTTTTTTTTTTTTTGAGACAGGGTTTCTCTGTATAACAGCCCTGGATGTTTTGAAGTTCACTTTGTAGACCAAGCCGACCTGGAACTCAAAGAGATCCACCTGCCTCTGCCTTCTGAGTGCTGGGATTAAAGGTGTGTGTGTCACTACTTCCCCACATGTTATTTTTTAAAACTGATTGGGAAAAGGAAAGGAAACAGCCTTCCCTGAGACTTGGAAGGAATGCAGCCCTAAGGACACCTTGATTTTAACCCAGTGAGACTCATTTCAGACCTACAGAACCAGTGATGATAAAGTCAAGTCACTGAAAGCATCATATTTTGTTATGGAAGCAGTAGAAAAGTAATTAATGTACCAACTTATAATATGCTTGAACCAAAAGCCAGTCTGAATAAATCCAGAAAATCATACCAAGAATGAAAGTAGAGATTTGTAACAAAAGAGGAATAATTACAAAGGCTTGTAAAAGATGTAATACACTTTTTTATTTTTTTAGTCAGGCTCTTACTTTGTAGCCACTTCTGCCTACCTCTGCCTCCTAAGTGCTAGAATTAAAGGCATGCAGCACTCAGTGGCTTGATGCAAAACACTTTTAAATAGCCCTTAGATTTATTCTTGTTGCTATTGTTGAGACAAGGTCTCACTTTGCTAACTTTGAACCCTAGATTCTTCTGCCTCGGCCTCCCAAATGCCAAGTAAGATTTCGAACAGGAGAAACAATAGTTAGAGATTAGCTTGGCTTATATGATAGGATTTTGAGAGAGAGAGAGAGAGAGAGACTCAGATGGTTAATTTCAGTGAAGAGGGTATAAGGAAATGGATGTGATTCCTTGGAAAGTTTGTCACAGTTTTTTTTAAAACCAGCTCTGTTCCAGAAGAGGGGACAGGAGAGGAGACCTAGCTCTTTGCTCTCTCTCCTCCATAGCTAAGCACACACACGTGTGATTTCTTCCACAGGTTAAGTGCACAATATATGTGGTTTCTTCTTTGATCCAGTGGCAGGCCTAAGAGCTGAGACACCTCCCTACACCATCTGGCCTCCTGGGCCATGCATGAAAGGTCCTCAGAGCACCTGCTCCCTGTTGGGACCCTGACCTGGGGCTCACAGGAGAGGAAATCAAGCCATAGGACACACAGGAGGGATCAGCAACAGGAACTGGCACTGAGTGAGGTGGGAACATAAAGGACTTGTGTTGCCTAAGATCCCAATCCCAGGTGCTTATAGGCAGGAGAATAAAGAGCTGGGGGAGAACACGGGAGCTTGGGAGCAGAGACAAGTCAGCAAGGGGAGCCTTCAGCAGAGGGAGACTGAAGAGTTGGGTTCCCCCTGCTATGTACAGCTAGGGACACGAAGCAGGAGGAAGGTGAGCCCTGACTGCCAACTCGGGACAGACACTTGATCCCATGGGGCTCTGTGAGGTGAGGGGAGGCACTGCTAAACAGGGATGAAATTTGGGTTTGGGAAGGACCACACTGACTGGAATAGAGAATTACAGAAGAGCAGGGCTATAGATGGCTTGGGAAGGAAGTAGTTGGCTCCAAGTGCAATGCAGTGCAGGATGGGGCTGTGTGAGGAGACAGGACTCAGGGGTAGCTGACTAGTAGTCACTGGCTGGAAGTAGTCTATGGTTGAGAAAGTGTAAAAGTGACATCTTGATATTGGGGGATATTCAGTCACACTGTGAATCCCAAGTTTGCGTTTTCATTAATTAAATAAAATTAACTTTGGGTCAGGTTGAGTTAGCAACTACTTGACAGAAAGTAATCATGGAACATCAGAGGCCATCAAGGAGAGATAGAGATGCAGAAGTGGTAGGGTGGAGTTTGGAGTGTCAAGCTTTTTCTGGTTTTGCTAAGTGGAAGCACAGGTCTTTCTGAGATGCCAGCAAGGAGGGAAGGTTAGCTAATTGCAACCCAGCCTCTCTGAGCTAGCAGGTTTTTATCCCAGCCTTTGAATCTTAAGTCTTATAAACAGAATGATAGAGATTTAATTAAAGTTACCTTTAGCAGCAGCAGCAGGGCTGGTACCTGCGGGAACAGAATTCCTGCCAGGCTACATACAGCCTGAGTGGCCAGGTCACTGCTACAGAAACAGGCCAGTAACTATGCACTTACAATCTCTGGCTGACACAGCAGTAGATTAGGGTACAGCCAATGTGTCAAAGTTAAAACAACACTTTGGTGTCTGTGGAGGCAACTAAGTGGAGAGGGCAGCCATTTACCCAGAGGGAACATGGGGAGAGCAAGCTAGAGAGTCCACTCAGTCTGAGATATGCTACTTTGGAAAGCTTGTGGGCCGTCCTGATAGAGGTGGCCAGGATTCTGCTTAAGATATGGGCCAGGTGCACGATCTGGAAAGTAAAAGACAGGAGCAATCAGAATCTAGGAGGAGGGTAAAGGAACTATGGGTGTGGCTAAGAGCCCTGGGGACAGTCCCAAAAGATCACTTCTCAACATTCACACATTGGGAGCACTGCTCCCTGGAAGACTTTTCCAGGGCATATACCTCCCACGTACAATTCCAGTAAGTATTGGAACTCTGCTTGATGAGGAAGCACACAATTAGAGAGTGCTGATGTACTATTGGTTCTTGTTAGTTCTTGTTAGTAGCAGAGAGGAGGACTAGAAGCAGGTAAGGCTATAATCCTCAAGGCCTGCTCCCCAGCTGCCTGCCAGCTAGGTCTGGTGTCCCAAAGAATTCTACAAACAGTGCCACCAGCTGGAGATCAAGTGTGCAAAACATAAACCCACAGGTGACATTTCACATCCAAACCATAACAACTTGTCAGAAAAACAAAAACACATTCAAGTTAAGGAGCAAAGCAAGAGCCCAAGTTGGAAGCCAAATGAATTAAGAGATCTGGGGAACACAAGAGAGTGAGGTGCTCTCTTAGTCAGTGGCTCTCACTATTAGTGTGCAAAGGCAGCCTGTGAAAAACTCATGTCCCTGCCTCTCTCCATTGCAGGAGACCCTGGAGTCTGCATTGCAAACAGACCTACAGGTAGGTATTACTTCTGTGATGGAGAATTGTGTGAAGATTCTTGTGGTTGGTGCTGCCAGCAGGGAAGATGGGTCCCTGGGAAATAAAGATTAAGAAGGTCTATCAATTTCTGCTTCTCAGAAGGTCACTGGTAACCATGAGAGAGGAAGTTTCAGTGGCACTGTGGGAGTGGAAGCCAGATTGCAGTGGGCAGAAGAATGAATGGGAGGTGAGAAAGAGAAGATAGCAAACATGGACCCCTTTTGGGAGACAGAAGTGAGAGCATCATCCCCCTCAAAGGCTGCCCTTCATCTCCCTGGAGAAAGTTGGAAAAGAGGATTAAGAAAATTTGGAGGCTGAATAAGACTTTCCACAGACCCTTAGAACTTTTCAGGGAGACAAGCTGGGAGCTGGCACCAGCTAGGCTGAGTCTCAAACCAAACCCGGTATGTCTGCTCTCAGTCTACACACCCAGGTTAGGGTTAGTCCACTGTCCCAGCTCAGAACTTGTTACTGCCTTCCCAGAAACTCTCCAGCAACTACCGTGCTCTGTTCTCACCTCACACAGGGAGGCATTTATGTCTCAAACCCCTCCATCTATTACCCTCCTTATTACACTACATTGGCTCTGTACCAGGCCTCCTGGAGCCACTGGCTACTCCCCAGGTAACTAACATATTGTTCCACCCTCATTAGCCTTTGGGTCATCTTGGGCTCTGCCCACCTAGGTGCCACACTTAGAAGAGCCAGTACCCTGCCCAGCCTATGCTAAAAAAATGTGTGGAATAAAAGATTCCGTATTCATTTCTTCTAGTGCTCTCTTCCTGCTGGACTGTGGCTTCCCCAGAATCACCAGCATCTAGCCAGGGTTGAGCCTCCTATAGATGCCAGGAAGCCAGGAAGCTAGTGGAGCTTCACTAAAGAATACACGTTAAGCATAGAGAAAATGTTTAAATTATGGGGTATCCACTCTTCTTCCTCTTCACTTTCCCCTCACCCAACTGCACTAACACTCTGTATCTGATGGTACAGGTGTCTCCCAGTCTCTAGAGCAAGGCGACTCTGGAGGATGTGTGCAAAGGAAAGAGGACTCGGGTTCCTTCTCCGGGGTTATTCCTTGATTCTCTCCTTCAATCTCTCAAATTCTACACATCAATTCAGATGGGATTACGGATGCTGCTTGAAACTACTGCGTTGAGAATCAGTGAGACAATCCCTGTAAAACCAATACATAAATTCTGGTTGTTATCAGATTCTTGAGGTCCTGGTAAAATAGAAGATCAGCGTCACAATACCAATAAACTGCATTTCTCATTTCCAATGACGAAAACTCACAGGGCAATACAACTTTCCGAAGTTTGTTTCTCTCCAAAGACTACTTCAGCCTATCCGCAGACGCTCCCGGCATACTGGCATACTTAAAGACTACTATAAGCGAAGCCCCGCCTCCCCCGTCTCTAGGCCACGCCCCTCTGTAAGCGCCGACCTCGTAGGTCCCTCCGGAATTAATTGGCACTTCTCTACACCAATAATAAGTGAAATTGCTGTAACGTCCGGTGAGGGGGCGGGACTTCCGTGCTGGTTGCTAAGACACTCTGGCTCGCTCCTTGACAACCTTGGTGGCAGCGGCCTCAGCTCCGGCCCCCGCGGGAGCAGGTGAGGCCGCCGGAGTGCGGCGGGCAGCATGTCGGAGTGGGTTGGCCCGGAGGGAGGACGGGAGGACGCGCGGGGCGGCCAAGGCCTGGCCCAGCGCGAGGCCCCACCTTGATCCCCAGCCCGCGCGGTTCCCGGCCCAGGACCTCCCCTTGTTCCACGTAGAGGACCGCGGAGCTAGACAGTGACATTGTGACCTACCCCCACCGTGCAGGCCGCTCCTCCTCACCCACCCTGGGCCCTGTCTAGCTCCGTGCTCTCATATCCTCCCTGTTCTGACTCCCGCAGCGCCTTGTCTCCGCGCCACCCCGATGCTGTTTGGTGGTCCCAAACGCCTCGTCTCAAACCACTTGGTTTGGAAATTTGGCGACGTCCTGGGACTCTGAGCTGATTGAGAGTGGCATTTAGTTTCCTCATCGACAAAGGCGAAATTGGGTTGAACGGTTTCAAAGGCCTTTTGGACTCGGACGTCCTAGGATGTTGTTCTTGGACTCAACTGTCAGTTCCCCGGAGGATGTGTTCTCCCTTCTTCCCTCCTTTTATGTAATGCAAACCTAGGTTGGATTCCCACGTGTAAGAATCCTGGCAAGTTACCTGAGATCTCCTTTGGCAATTGAAGTACAAAGGGCCGAGTCCAGCGTAGATTCAGTACCTGCTAGCTTTCTTTTTTTTCTGTGTGTATTATGTTTCTGTGTGTACAGGTTCATGTGGAGGCCAGAGGTCAACATTTAGTGTCTTAATCACTTCCCACCTTATATTTTCTTTTTCTTTTCTTTTTGTTTGTTTTTGAGACGGTTTTTCTCTGTGTAACAGCTCTGGCTGTCCTGGAACTTGCTCTGTTCACCAGGCTGGCCTCGAACTCACAGAGATCCACCTGTCTGCGCCTCCTCAGTGCTGGGATTAAAGGTGTGTACCACCACTGCAGGAGCTCACTATTGGGCTAGATGGTCAATGATCTCCAAGGATCCTTCTAGCTGCCTCTCCAATGCTGGGATCGTAGGCATGGCTGCCACACCCAGCTTTTACACGGGTACTGGGGAGAGAACTCAGGCCTTCATGATGGTGTAGCAAGCACTTTATAAGCTGACCCATCTCCCCAACCTACTAATTTCCTTTCTTTGCCTCTTACTGCCTCACATTTTCCCTCCTAGGAGGAACCCAGCGATTTTCTACTAACTGCAGATGAACCTTACACCTGCTCTCGGCTTTGATCTTTTCTCTGTACTTTGTGGTTAGGGATCCATGACAGAGGATGAGAAAACTGGAAGAAGTTGATACGGTAATGTGAGAGTTGGACTCATAGCTTCCCTTTTCCATCCATCCATGATTCCGTCATCTCATACTCCCAATGAGATGCCTCCATTTGCATTTTGCCAGCTGCTAAAATCAAACTGGCCTGCGTCTCTACCTGCCTATCTGTTGTACCTGGCTTCTCCACGCTCTGCCTGGCCCATTCCACTGAGGACTGAGTTATTAAATTGTCTTGATTTTGTCTCCACTGGGATATCACCTCCTTTCCATTCCTGAGGCTACCATCCTGGTCTAGGCCTTTAATACCTGTCATAGGGGTTATTGCTGTAGCTTTTTAACTTCTGTCCCTATCAACCCAAGTCACCAAACCACTGTGCTGCCAGCCTCAAGAATGCTCCAAGAAGCTAGGCACAGTGGTGCATGCTTGCAATCCTAGTTCTTGGGAGATATTACCTGCAGTTGCTTAGTGAGTTCAAGGCTATCCTGCGTTATGTGAAAGCCTATCTCAAAAAACAAAATCCTCACTTTTTATGCCTGGGTTTTAGAGCCCTTTACACTTTCTCAACCCATTCTCAGCTCTTTTTCTCCCTTCTCAACTGTGTTCTGCCACCAGTTGAACTTTCTCTTGAAACCACTACATTGCTGCTCTGTGTAGAGGGTCTCCTCCCATTCCCCACTTGGCTGGATTCTCACCAGTGCTGACTCCTATGCTACCCTTCACTCTGAGCTTGTCTTAACACCCTCCCATCTGCCTCCCAGTTATCTTTCATATCTTTCTAGCATGGATCATGACTCCTGGGTCAGGTGCTGCTTCTTGCTTAGTTATAGTAGAGCTGTCAAAAGCACAGGCTTGAAGGCATGTGTACTTGGGGTGGGATCTGTCCCATGTTTCTCAGCTGGATGGAAAGCCACGTTGCTTTACTCAGGTCATGTGTTCATCAGTAACAGGGAATAGTGTCTGTCTGACAGTTTGGGGGGCCTGGTATATTTTTGAATGTATGTAGAATTCCTCTCCTGGTCTCTGAGTGAAGATCAGTATTAAGTAAACATGTTTTTCAAATTTTTTTTGTGTGTGTATACATGTTCATGTTTAGGAGTAACTGTACATGCATATGGAGGCCAGAGTATTTTTCTCAGTCACACCCCAGCTTATTTATTCTATTTTTTTTTTTTTTTATAGAGTCTCTCTTCAGACCTATAGCTCACTTATTGGCTACTTGCTGGCCAATAAGCCCAGGATTCTCCTGTCCCTGCCTCTCCAGCACCAGGTTTACAGGCGCATAGCATAGCATCCAGCCACCTCTGGGAGTGTGCACTAATGTGTGAGAGAACAAGAGAGTGTGAGCAAGCGCAAGCACCCCCAGTGTGCATGTGGAAATCAAAGGGAAACTTTTGGGAGCTGTCTCTCTCCTTCCACATGGGTTTTGGGGATTGAACTCAGGTTATCAGGCTTGCAAAGCAAGCACTTTTATCCTCAGAGCCATCTTTCCAGCTCTGCACCCAGCTTTTTCTGTGGGTGCTGGGAGTCTGAACTCAAGTTCTCATGCTTGTGCAGCAGACCAAGCTGAGCCATCCCAGCTCCAGTGTTTAGTATTATTGGATGGTTTTGAGTGGACTTCTCTCCTCCCAAGAGGCAATTGAAATATAATTTAATTACATTTTGGATATCTTTTGGACTTCTGCCATGTGCCTGACATTGGACTGCTCATTATGGGACAGTAAAAGAGACTGAAGTCCCTGAGCTCCAGGGTGTCTGGATTCACAACACATGGTGAAGTCATGATCACTTGTAAGGTGTGACTGCTGATTAGCTATTGTCGGTGGTTTCCTAGGAAATAAATCAGTGCTTTATTCAAGCCTATGATAATGTCACGTTTAATTCCTTATGTTCAAATGTGTTCTGCTGAGTGTGGGCAGGAGCCTGTGTAACCCATGCTGTAGGCAGCTGCTCTTAGGCTGAGCCCATGGCTACCACGGTTATGACTTTTTATCACTTATCGCTTAATGAAAATGTTTGGTATCTCATCCAAATTTGGATATGTCTGTGGGGGTGTGCTGTGTGAATCACTGTCGTTTAGTACGAGGTGTTGGACGAGGAAAATGTTGAGTTGCCCAGCTCAACGATTCAACAGATGTCTCTTCTAATTCCACTTCTCCCTCCCCTTCCTTCCCTTCTCTTCCTCCTCCCTCTCCGTGATCAAATCATAAAGAAGTTAAAACCAAACGAGACAGCTTGTGTATGTGTAGAAAGGTAACTTTTTTGTTTGATTTTTGTGTTTAGGGACAGGATTTCTCTGTGAAACAGTTCTAGCTGTCCTGAAACTCACTCTGTAGGCCAGGCTGGCCTCCAACTCACAGAGATCCTCCTGTCTCTGCCTCCTGAGTGCTGGGATTAAAGGTGTCACCACCCTCACCCCCACCCCTCCCACCCTCCACCCCCACCCCACCCCCACCCCTCCCACCTCACCCCCCCACCCCATCTCTCCCACCCCCTCCCACCTCACCCTCCCACCCCCACCCCTCCCACCTCACCCTCCCACCCCCCCCACCCCATCTCTCCCACCCTCTCCCACCCCACCCCCACCCCTCCCACCTCACCCCCCCACCCCATCTCTCCCACCCCCTCCCACCTCACCCTCCCACCCCCCACCCCATCTCTCCCACCCCCTCCCACCCCACCCCCCACCCCTCCCACCTCACCCCCCCACCCCATCTCTCCCACCCCCCCCACCTCACCCTCCCACCCCCCACCCCATCTCTCCCACCCCCTCCCACCCCACCCCCTCCCACCCCACCCCCTCCCACCCCACCCCAGTGAAAGGTAACTTTTTAAGGACTGCAGTTATCCCACCCCTCCTTACTGTCAGCCTGCCCTTTGTTTTCAGCAGATGATGACCTGCTGGCCTCCCTCACTCCTTCCTTCTTTTTTCCTTGAAAGAAAGACAGGGTCTCATGCCAGCCAGCAGTGGTAGTGGTGGCAGTGCTCGCCTTTAATCGCAGAAAGCAGAGGCAGTTAAATCGCTGAGTTCAAGGCCAGCCTGGTCTACAGAGTGAGTTCCAGGACAGCCAGCGCTACACAGAGAAGCCCTGTCTTAGAAAGGACAAGGGTGGTGGGGAGCGAGGGGAGACAGGGCCTCACTCTGTTGCCTTGTTTGGCCTGAAACCCATTATGTAGGTCAGGTTGGCTTCTGAGTGCTGGGATTATAGGCATGTGCCACCACACCCAACTAGATGATGGATTTCTGATGCCCTTACAGTAAAATTGGAGAATGGCAGCTGTGGGTTTGCTTTTCACCCCTGCCTGACCTGGATAACCCAGGCCTTCAGATGTAGGCAGAAGTTTCTGTCCTATAAGCTGTTCCCAAGTAACCACACAGAGGCTTAATATTAATTATAAATGATCGTCCAACAGCTCAGGCTTGTTATTAGCTAACTCTTACATTTTCAATGAACCCATACTTTGCCACATGGCTTGGTACCTTTTCTCAGTATGGCATGTCCATCTTGCTTCTCTGCATCTGTTCACTACCCCTCTGACTCTGCCCTTCTTCTTTCTAGCATTCTTTGTTTAGCTATCCCCCTACCCCCCTAACCTTATCTTGTCCAGCTTCTTCTTATTTGGTTTTTTGAGACAGGGTTTCTCTGTGGCTTTGGAGGCTGTCCTGGAACTAGTTCTTGTAGACCAGGCTGGTCTTGGACTCACAGAGATCCACCTACCTCTGCCTCCCTAGTGCTGGGACTAAAGGTGTGCA